GCAGGAATGGCTGGGAGGGTCCGGGCAGCGCAGGCAGAGTCCGTGGGCTGTGGCCAGCATGTTCATAGGAATCGTGTCTTCACCGCCAAGAACACAGTAGCTTAGTCGGTCCTTCCGGGAGCCTTCGTGGATTAACCCTCCGAGTACACCCTGATCCCGTCAGCTGCCCGCTGAGCGTGGACACAGGAAACCCGGTGCCCTCAGAGGGCTCAGACTAGAGCACCCAGCGCGACAGAAGTCTGAGCCTCCCTAAGTTCACCTCCCCAGTAGCCATATTAAAGTAGAGAGAGCCGAAACCGGTTTGGCTCAGTGAATAGAGCATCGGCCTGCGGACTGAAAAGGTCCCAGGTTCGATTCCGGTCAAGGGCATGTACCTGGGTTGCGGGCAATCCCCAGTGGGGAGTGTGCAGGAGGCAGCTGATCGATGTTTCTGACTCTCTATCCCTCTCCCTTCCTCTCTGTAAAAAATCAATAAAATATATTTTAAAAAAAGAGTAGAGAAACAGGTGAAGTCATGTTCAATACTTTTAACTCAGGGTATCCAAGATGTTGTCACTTGAGCATGTAATCAATATAGAACGTTAAGAACGTTGACTTTTTTCTTATCAAGTCTTCAAAGTCCAGTGTGCGGTTTACACGGCAGCCCATCCCAGTGTGGCCCAGCTCCCCTTCCAGCACCACAGTCCCCGGTGGCTGGGGGCGACTGTGGGGCAGCACAGGCCTAGCCATCATAATGGTCAGACGGTGGTCAGGCTGTCAGAAGCCAGCAGGGGCTGTGGGCATCATCCTGCACTGTCTCATGGCAACTGTCCAGCAGGCAGATGGCTGCGCTGGCAGAGCCCAGGGCCAGGCTGGCAGGGCAGCCTGTGGACCAGGAAAGGGAGTGGGAAGGGGCCACACCTGAGACCTGAAATCTAGGCCCAGAAGTCACCCAGACCCCTCTGCTTTCCGTCACACGGCCACGCCTGGCTGTGAGTCTGAGAAACACCGTCTGGATGGGCAGCCGCGAGCCCAGAAAGATTTAGGGGGAAAGGGCCTCTGGCCTGTGGCAGTGAGAGGCCCATTGGGAAGGGGGTGTGGTTGGGCCCCGGGCTCCGTCCTGGGGTAGGTGGGTGAGGTGCCCTACCAGGCTCCCCAGGGCCAAGAGATAGGTCTCACCCACAGCGGTGCCCGGTGCCTGGCCAGTGTGGGTCAGTTGGTTGGAGCGTCGTCCCATGCACTGAGGGGTCACTAGTTAGATTCCTGGTCAGGGCACATACCCAGGTCACAGAATTGATCCCTGGTTGGGGTGTGTATGGGAGGAAACCCATTGATATTTCTCTCACACACTGATGTTTCTCTCAAATAAATAAAATATATTTTAAAAAAATTTTTTTATTGATTTCAGAGAAGGATCAAGCCAGCAACCCGGGCTTGTGCCCTTGACCAGAATCAAACCAGGGACCCTTGTCCCCAGGCCAACGCTCTGCCCACTGAGCCAAACCGGCTAGCTAGGGCAATAAGTATTTTTTTTTAAATGCCCACCAGTGTGGATCAATGGTTGAGCCCGGCCAGGAATCGAACCAGAAGGTCAGTTTGATTCCCCGTCAGGGCGCATGCCTGGGTTGCTGGCTCACAGTCCCCAGTCGGGGGCGTGAGGGAGGCAGCTGATCAATGATCCTTTCATCATTGATGTTCCTCTCTCTCCCTTCCTCTCCGAAATCAATAAAAATATATTTTAAAAAAGAAAACAGATCCTCGGGTGAGGATGAGAAATGACTCACTGTGGCTCTTGCCTCTGCAGCCAGAGCACGCCTTCGATTTCATCAGCAAGGAGCTGTGCGCACACGCCATCAAGAAGCTGCAGGCCCACGTGCTGCTCATCAAGTAAGTGTGAGCCCAGCAGCCACCGTGAGCACCAGGGATCTGCAGGCCTCCCAGAGCCACTCGCTGGGGAAGCCCTCGGCGGCTGGTTGGGCAGCACACCTTTCAACAGGCGACTGTGGAGGGCACCCCACTCTATGCTGCCGCTCCTGCCTGCCTTTCTCCCCCAGGCCAACACCTCAGGGTCTCACAGCAGTGAACACCCTTTACTGTGGCCGAGATGCCACCCCCCTGCACTGCAGGCCTGCGCCGTCCATGCCCAAGGCAGGACCTGTGACCTCCAGGGACACTCCTGTCTCTGGTGCCGAGCACAGGGTCTAGAGGGTGCACTCGAGACACGCACATCCAAACTGCTGCACACCTGCCAGCGTGGCTTCTCTCACCTGAGCGCAGTGTGGCTGGCGGTGGCCGGAGCCCGTCCTCAGAGCGATGGGACTGCCCAGCGGGGCAGCCACAGTGGCAAACAGTCTGCGTCTCTCAAGCAGTTAGCACATGGCCCCCTGGCTGGGCAGTCCCACTCCCAGGTGCAGGCCCGTCAGGTTCACACTAGTGCAGGATGGTCCAGAGCACTCCTCACAACCACCACCAGGTGGGGCAATCCCGACGTCCGTCCGCCGCGGACTGTTTCCGTCCAGAGCACGGACGGACCCTGAAGTGTTCGGCTCCGTGGAGGAAGCCAGCGCGGAGTCCACCATGGGATCCCCTCCCCTGCAAGCCAGGGAGGGGCTGCACAGAACGTCAGCTAGGCCTGCAGTTGTGTGTGGGAGAGGACACAGGTTTGGAATTTTTTTGAGGTGATGAAAATGCTCCAAAATTGACTACTGGTGGTTGCACAACTGAATATATTTAAAACCAAGGAATTACACACTTGAAGTGGGTGAAATTATCTCAGTAAAGCTATTTAAAAAAAAAAAAATTCCAGCCAGTGTAGTTCAGTGGTTGAGCATCAACCCATGTACCAATGTTTGCCAGTTCAATTCCCGGTCAGAGCACGTGCCTAGGCTAGATCCGCAGTAGCAAGCATGCAAGAGGCAGCTTATTGATGCTTCTCTCTCTCTAAAAATCAATAAAAATACTTTTTTTAGAAAGGAAAGAAAAAGTACAGACTCAAACCGTTCACTGGCTCTCCATTCACTGCTGTGACCACGGCAAACAGGACTTCAGGTGTGGGCGGGTACCGAGTGGCTGAACCCAGCTGTGGACGAGGTGGGGTAGCTCAGGCCAGGGTGCAGGGCACTGCTGGAGGCGGGCCTGAGATGAACCCTGGTTTCTTGCTTTCCAGAGCAACTGACGGATTTTTTGACGTGAGGAGAGAATATGATGCTGACAAGGGGCTCATACTGTTCATGACTGACCAGCTGAAATCGGCCCTAGGAGAGGTGGGTGTGGGGCTCAGGGTGGCTGGGTATGGAGGGGCATCATGCCCTTCGGGGCTCCACCATGCTACCTCTTCTTTTTTAAAATATATTTTCATTGATTTCAGAGAGGAAGGGAGAGGGATAGAAGCATCAATGATGAGAATCATTGATTGGCTGCATCCTGCACACCCCCCTACTGGGGATCAAGCCCGTAAACCAGGCATGTGCCCTTGACCAGAATCGAACCTGGGTCCCTTTAGTCCACAGGCCGGTGCTCTAACCACTAAGATCCCTGGTCTGGCTCAGCCCCAGGTCTACCAGGTGACCCCGGAGCTACCAGGCCTCACTCCCAGCTGTGGGCAACATAAACCGGCACAGAGCAGACTTCATTGGCAGACTCTCCCGACTTTATTGTCCTCACACCCAGGGGGCCAGGCCCAACTCAGCCAGCAGCCATCCCAGCTTCCTAGGGTCCCAAATGGGAACAGATGGCCAGTCCCCTCACTGGGTGCTGGCTGCAGGTGAGGGAGGGCCCCAAGCAGGAGGGCTGGGACTTGTGCTTGACTGTCCCTGGGGAGCACCTGGCCCCGGAAACGGGAAGCCCGTGTGGCTGTGTGGCCATCGGCGGTGCCCTCCGTCCTGTCCTGTCTGTCGGCTCCCTCCCGGGCGGGTCGGATAGAGCAGCAGCACCGCCACTTGCTCCGCCCAGCCTACTTCCCCAAGCTCACCGCTCAACATGCCCAGGCCCCCAGGGCTGGCACACTTCCCTCCCAGAGGCCTGTCTCATGAACTTAGAGCCAGGCCTGAATCCAGGGACGCCATGAACAGCCACAGGGAGGCAGCAGACCCCAGGAAAGCCCCACCAGAGGGGCCCCTGGAGCCACCACTAACCACTGTCCCCTCCTTCCCCAGCGGTTCCAGTTTGTGGAAATTCCAGGCAACCATTACGTCCACATGAACCAACCTGATCACGTGGCCAGTATCATTGGCTCCTTCTTACAGGACAGGAACAGGATCCCAGCCCAGCGGTAGCCCTGGGCCTGGGGCCACTGAGACCTGTGCTCACCACACACCACGGACGCCCAGCTCCAGGGGCCCCAGCCAGGCCAGGCCTCACTGGTCTTGAGCAGCATGAGCTGGCAGAGCAGAGGTGTGGGGTGTGGTTTCTCTCTCCCCTGAGTTCACAGGGGAGATTGTGTCTGGATTCGGGGTCTGTGTTGTGGCTGGAAACCAGAGGGAGCCGGGAGTGCAGGAAGACTGGATAGGCCGCCCGGCTTGCAGCCAGCAGCTCTTGCGCCTTTCCTGTGCCCGCCTGGATGAATAAATTGTTCTTTTCTCTCTCACTGCCTCTGAGGCTTTCACAGCTGCGGGGCTTGGCCACTGCGGGTTAGGGGAGAACATGGCGGACACTTAGCTTTTAGCGAAGATCCACACGGACTGGGAGGAGACAGGAGCAGCAGGAACCCCTTCCTGGGCCGGTGGCTCCTGAGAACCAAGTCCTCATGCTGGGCAGGCTCACCAGCCCCGGGCTCGGGGCTGCTGGAGACAAGGGCTGAGGGTGGCACTGTCCTTTACCCGCCGCCCGTGGGCTGACTCTTGGTGCTGTCTGACGTGGCAGCTTCCGGGCCTGGGCAGTCGGAGAGCATCTAGGCCTTCGTGTCCTGGCTGGCCATCCCCACCACCCGTCCGCGCGGCTCAGTAGGGACGGAATTTGCGTTGGGCCCGCATCAGCTCAATCCTCTGCTTGTCCTCCTCGAACTTCTTGCGCAGCTGCGCTAGATCTGGGGCGTGAGGGGAAGGGGGAACGGCCAGGATCAGACAGCATGCCCGTGGGAGCTGCGCCCCATTGCCCCCATGAGTCTGCCTGGCCACACACCCTCTCCGCAGCAGCCTCTGCACCACAGCCAGCACCTGAGGCCACACACACACACACACACCCCTACCCCTCCTGCAATCTGGCCCCAGCACAACTGCTCAGTGGTCTGGCAGTAGGTCCTACATTCCAGGTGCCTCTACAGCCCTAAGTAACCCAGAGGACCCCACAGCGACCTCTAGGGAGCAACAGTGGGACCAGCACACAGGTGCTGCCCGGCTGGGATCCCAAACCCAAAGCCTGTTGGGAAATCTGGGCCTAAGGACACCCTGGCCCAGAACCCAGGTCCAGCGCCTGCCGCTGGGGCTCCGTGCTTTGGCCACAGGCCTTGCCCGGGCAGCTGGGGCTCAAGACCAGTGGGGCTGGCCGACGGCTGGGGGCGCGCCCTTACGCTCCATCTTGGTCTCCCGG